GGGGCCCTCGCTAGTAGGTAACAAGAAACACAAGACAAACAAGACAGCAAAACAGCAAAAGTTGGGGGTCCATTCTAGGGGGTGGAGGCCAGAGTTCAGGTTAAAAACCTTACAAAGTTTGGAGGCCTACCTGCAACCTATAGGGTAGCCTTAGAGGAAAACAGAAGGAAAGGCACCGACACACAAGTGTGTCGAGTACCATTTCCTCCTGTTTTCCTAAATAGGGAACAGGTACGGAAGTTTGCGTCCAAACTTCCATCCAGTCGATTTCCATAGCTTCATTGGCGTGACTAGGAAATCGACCGTCACGCCCCCTGTTCCAAACCTTATAAGGTTCCCTCTGATTCCAAGGGTTACACACACATATATATATAAAATGCACGGTCCCGGAACTATACAATTTGTGATTTCTTTTCGCTCTTGCTTCTTGGTGCTGGTAAAGCTCGAAATGCAGATTTCCTGGTGAGCAGCCTTATGTGAACTTCGGAGTGCACTGTGGGAAACGCGGAGCGCTGATCTTCACATCCGGGTCTCATGTCAGGCGGCAAAAGCCTGGTAAGCCTTCAGTAGCATCCAGCCCCGGGTGGCTCACAGAAGATGTGCTATGTTGGAATGGTTCCTTTCCTTCTTTGAATTTTATCTTGGCAGCGCTTTGTATGCCTCGCTGATCTAAGCATTCAAGTCTTTTGTGAGATGGCCAAAGCCTGGTGTCCCATAGCATCCGCTGTGGGAAGGGTCTCATCTGCCCACGCAAAAATCACCTCGCTCGCGCGCGCGGGGTCGATTTAGATATGAAGGGCCACATCCAACCCTCACTCTCGCACGCAAAATTTACCTCACTTGCGCACGCGTGGCTCACTTGCGCACACAGCGACTCACTTGCGCACACAGGAATTGGAATGGCGCATTCCTCCCTCTATATTTTCCCTCCGGTGGCTCACAAGAGGTATGCACCATTGGACTGGCACCTTCCTCCTCTAAGTTTTGCCCTCGGGTGACTCACAGAAGATGCGCCCTTTCCTGCCATGATCTCCCATTCTCAAATGTGTTGCACATCTAGCAACTGATGAATGAGAAAACTGATGAACACTTCCGCGGGGAACGCCCGAGAATGAACAGCAACACAGCTTTCTCACACAGGGTAGAGATGTTCCACGAAGCCTGAAGAGATCTGGGGATTCCTTCATAGCTTCATGGCGGGTTTTCTCAAAAATCAATAGGAATGATAACAAAATGGATGGAATCAGTCACTGAAGCCGCCAGCCTGCCGGTGTGTCTTGTGGATGTTCTTGTCAGGTAATTTTGTAATCCGTGTGTAACCCGTATTGTTTCTTGGCGGCAATTATCAAAGAGGACTGTTCAGGTAGAAACATCGTGGTGCAACTACTGGTTCCTTTTCTTTGCCTCGCCTGAATCAATCCCACCTGATCATCATCATCATCACCATCATCATGATCATGGTATACGCTAGTTTGGTGCAGTATCAAACCCCAGCTTGGGCCACACATCTCCCTCTACCAACAGGTGAACACATCCTCCGCAAAGTGCAGTGGAACACGCCAGCGGTTAAATAGATTCCTGATTCTTTAGACCCCCACACTGCCCACACGATCGTCCCAGTGCGTCGAACCTCCGGATTAGTCTTTTTCTTGCAGATTTGCTTCGGGAATGGTCTGGTGGAGACGTTTGCTGACAATAGGTTCCAAAGGTTCCATTGCCCAAAGCTCTTCTTTGTCAAGGTCGCTGCGGAAGGCTTGGATCCAAGATTGAGTTTGGGACGAAGCTCAATGAGGGTCTTCTTAAACCGATGTCTCACATAGTAAAGACATGGTGCTGCCATCCTCACTCGACTCCACCGTGCTCGAATGAAACCAATCTCTTTGTTGCAAAAAAGGGCGCGTCGCTTTGCAATGGCATGGCTCCTCTAGCTAACCTAAGCAGCCAGACCGGGCCCGCTGACGGTTCTTTGCCGATTTCAGACTGGTACCAGTACCGCAACACACTCAATACATTTGCAATGATACGCTGACAAGAGACACCCTCTACGCACGATCATCCCATCCACTCATGTGAAGCTAAACGAGCTTGTTTCTGATGGGGTTTAAACATGTAGAGGAGGTTGAGGCGTAACAATTCTCATGCTGTGCCTTTTTCTGGTGGCGTTTGGATCCGTAGCACAAGTCAAACAACCAAGGGCAGCTCAGCCAACTCAACTGGACTCCTACTGCGTGGGGTGTTTGTGAGACCCACAAAAGCTATTGCCCGAAAGGAACTTGGCAAATATTCGCTTGTTCTATTATTCATGATGCAATCAATGTCTTTTTCTTGAGGTATCTATTGAGACTGGATGACACGTAAAACACACCTTTTGTGCTTGCACTCCAGGAAGGCCTGCCACCATGCCAGGATGTTTTGATGCACCTTTGCTGTGGTGGATCCACAGGCTCAATCCCCGAAGATTTAGCACCAATCTTCAAATCCAGCCTGCGATTCTCCAACCCAAAGCCCCCAAGCTTCGACAAGGACATGACCAAACCCTTTGATTTCGAGAAGAACAAAAAAGTCACATATTGAAGCCCTCTAATCAAAATAATGACATCTATCGGGAGCTGAGCTCGATCTAAAAGGGCTGAGTCGTGAATCAAGCTGAAATTCCACCTTCCACGCACCGTGCTCTTCGAATGTCCTTTCACGTCATTTCACCATACGGGTACTTCACGACTTCGCACTTCTCACGTTACTTGGTACATAAATCAAGAGGCATAGGTTCTTTTACATCAACCGTTTCATCTTTCAGAAAACACATCGTACGAATGCTGCCAAACGTATCCAAACGTTAAACGGGTAGCTGGAAACTTCCAAAGAGGAAACAGGCGCTGGGCAGACATTGATCTTCAAGATCTTCAAGGTCGTCCGCTAAATCCAGCTGCAGGCAATATCTACTGGCTCTGACTGGAGGTAGCAAAATGTTTGCGCGATCGTGCCGTCATATCTTTTTGCTATTAAGGAAAGCCCAAGGCATCTTTGCACTATAAATGGTACACTTTACTCCGAGTGTGAGTTGTCCAAACACTCCATGACAAGCCCCGGAAACACAGGTCGCAGCATGGTGGCAATGCACGTCAACCAACAAGAATCTTCAATGTGCTCCTTCTTCACGTCAAAACTAGCTTGGAGTGCAAAGGCATCTCGTCAAGCGCAAGTCAGACTACATTTTACATCTTTTTTCAATACAATGCCTTGTCAACAGTCTGACAAAGTCGGCAAGGCATTCAAAACGTGCTGCCTTGGGACATCTTCGGACTCTTGGCGAGACCCTCACTGGGGGCAACTTTCGGCAATCAAGACTTGACTAGTCCAATTCGATTCCGGTGGTGCCAAGCCGGCACCAGACCTGCGCTCCATGGCAAGCCCACCCTGGACAGACCATGGCGTTGGTCCAAAGATTTCAACTTGGATCTTGTGGAACAATATTTGAATCTGGAACCTAGGGTTTCCTACATTGTACAAGTCCCCACCCTTGGCGAAGCTTATGCCTGCTCAAGAAAATCTACTAACAACGCCAAGTCTGCACTGCCAATTGGCATGCTTTGAAGAAGTAGCCTGATTCAATTGTGGCATGCTTTCCAGCAGGCTCTGTATTCAACCTGTCTGGAGCTTGCCCCGCGGGTGGCAGCCTTTGTGGAGAATGACAAACAGCTCAAATTCGGAGGAGCCCTGTGCCCAGACCAGGACCAGGATTGAAGAACATGGAAAAGCTCCCGCGCTTCAATCGTCAGTGAACTAAAACTTGAATCTGCTTCTTAGACTGAAGCTTTTCAGATTGAAGATTGACACCATTATAGATGTTTGATATTTGGTTGCTATTTTCTTTGTAAGATGAAGGCATTTTCGGTCAGGCATTGCAGGGCAATGGTGGTTCTTTACTGTTGGCAAAGGAAGGGAACCCTTGGAATTGAAGAGAGCGCGAACCAGTTGCAAGATTTGCACTCCATGGTTCATAGTATATCCAGTACAGTATGTCGATGTATATCTGTTCTGGCTGTTGATAGCCTCCAAAAAGGTGAACTGGATTTCTCTAAAGTCACGAGCGAAAAAGTAAACCGTCCAAAAATCCATACAGCTTCCGGCCCAGGTATAGGTTCACACATCGCGCTGCTCTCAAGTCATTCTGAGGTCGTCGGTGAAGTCTGCAGATATGCCCGCTGCAGAGATGTCTATCATGTTCTGTGGCATCTTCAGCTTAGAATGCTTAGAGCTGCAGGCAGCTGGTCAGGTGTCGGCAACAAATCTCTGCAGGTTCTGCACCATCTTCCTTTCGGATCTTTTGCCTATAACTTCTTCGATATCGAGACTTGTAGCTCTTTGTTCGATAAAGGTTTGTGGTTTGTTCGCACTTCGATCTTTTGGGCCAACATGAGAAAGCTCTGCCAGGCTCTCAGCGCGGATTCAAAGGATTCGAGCGAATTGGATTCATTTGATTTGAAACGGATGTGATTGGCTGTTGCATAGCTAATGCACGGCTCTCTTGTGCTAGAAATAAGAAGTGCATCGCTCCTTTCCATCAACCGAGCGGCAGGCATGGCACGCAAACTGAAGCGAGCCCCGTCGGAGCTGCTATCCAGTGGGCCAGGCAGAGGGCCAAACTTGATTGCTTGGTGGCCGCAATGCTTTGCACACATTGGCCAAAAGGGTTGCGTGTGAGCGGCGCGCAAAGCAAAAGCACTGCACCTTCACCCCCTTCACCCCCTTCAGAATTGATAGAGTTCTCCAAAGTGGTCACAAAGCCAAATCAGCAATCGAAGTTGCCTCTGAGACAATACTCACCTAATTCGCAGGGAACCCTTTGTGCACTTGAAAGGTAGAACTTGAGCTGCAAAGAACCTGGAACTGGAACACGAACTCATGTAGTCAACATATCTCAACAAGTCTCAACATGTGTCAACATGTGTCTACATGTCAGCCCAAACCGCCGGCAAATTTGGTCAGAAGTCTAAATATCGCCCCTCAACATGCAAAACACCTCATGCGACTGGAAGTGCCAAAGCACAGCTGCTTTATGGAACCAAGAGCCTCAACACCAAAGCTGATGCTGCGTGTTTCTCCAGGTGCAGTTTATGAGGAGTTGCATTCGACTCCCAAACTTGGAATTGCAAACAGCGGACATCAAATCTCCATTTTTTGCAAAATAGTGTTGAATGAGTGCTTGGCATGCTTCCGGCGCTTGCCATTCCCAGTTTGAGAGCAAGAAAGGCTAGAACGTGGTCATGTCACGCAGCACAACAGTTCAATTGGTTTGAGTATCCCAACGGTGTTGTTTCTTGTTCAAGTCACAGAATGACTGGCATCTGGCTGTGGAGCGATGGAAGCTGCTTGGAGTAGCCTAGGCCTAGGCGACTGATGACTGAGTATTTTCATCGAAGACAAAACAAGCTAAGCGAGCTTAAGTTGACAATTGACATTTGGTTAGCGGTGATCAAATGAGCGAATTGTTCCAAGAGAAGAGTAATCATGCTGTCAGTGTCAAAAAACACCGACCCCGTCGGCCTGTCGGCTGATTGTCGCACTCTTCACAGACATGTCTTGACACTGCCAGCTGGCCGTGGCATGGCATCGATGGACATATGAAAACAGCCCAAGAAAAGAGCTAAGGAAAGAAAAGGGACGGAGACTCCTGGGACTCCATGGACTTGGTTTGCACATGCACGCGTTGCTCAAATATCAAAGCTGTCAAAGGCACATGTAGCTGGCATTTGCACATGACAGGGGGATGCATCTGCAGAATATTCAAAAGCATCTCCTTTCCCAGAAGTCAAAGGAGATTGTAAAGGCACACTGATGAGAGATTGGCCAAAAAGCTTCACTTGCATGGCAGGTTCACTTTCTGAAGCAAGGTTCAAGTTGACAATCAAATTTTCCAATGCAATCCATTGGCGTCGTACGATAGCTACCGAGAGGGTATGTCAAAGGTTCCACGTGTACTGCGTTGAAGTAACTGCCCGCACAGCGTCGTGCGAGCTATGGGCAGTCTGGGCTCACCAACAGGGAAGTCTCAATGCTCTCCTCACGGTCCTTGCGGTCCTGGCGGCTCAGCACGTCCAGACCACAACACGCTTCACGCTTTTCACACTTTGCTGCTTCTCAAGCCTATCACCTATCGTTTGTTTTGAAGAAAAAGTACTCGTCATCTTGACCTGATAAGCTGTCTTTAAGGTCTAGGTTGAAAAGGCAAACTCCCAAAAGCTGTTTCAAGGCCTAGGTCTGGTGGCACAGTGGGGGTAGAGATGTTAAGTTGCTTGAGTTTAGCGTTTTTGCTCGCAAGAAGTGTTTTGCACCAATGTTATTTGGAAAAAATGAAAGAAGTGTTTTGGTGTTTCCGTGGCCAAGTCTTAAAACACTTGCACAACCAATAACCATTCGACCCTTCTTCTCACCCTCAATACCCTGAAACACTACAGCCATCAGTCACAAATTTCCCAAAGCGCAAGCACCAAATGCCGTTTTTTTAAAACAAAAAAATGCAAGCAGTCTCACTGATCCAAAGATCAGCTCTTCTTGAACAGCTTTCGCAGGTCTTCAAACAAACTTCCTACAAAGTGTTTACAAAGTTTGGGATCTTTACACAAAATTGACAAAGTTTTGGAATTACAACTTGTTTTAACCGAGTTTTTGCATTACAAAGTTTTAACAAAGTCTACAAAGTTTAAAAATAGAAATAACAAACTTCACAAAGTTTTGGAAACTTACAGTACATTGAATTTTACAAAACTTTGGAACTACGAAGTTTTTACAAAGTATTGAACCTTTAGATATCTGAACAAAGCTTTGGACATTTATCAAGCTTTGAACAAGTTTTGGAATTGTACAAAGTTGTTACCAAGTTATTGAGTTTGAACGTTTTTACACAGCTTTTACAAAAGTTTTTGATGCTTACAAACTTTCTACAACGTTTCGGATTTTTTCACTCTGTGTCAAAACTTTGTAAACTTTATTCGTTGAAAACTTTGCAAAACGTTGTAAACTTTGTAAGAACTTTGTAAACTTTGTAAATACTTTGTAAATTTGTAAAAGCTGTGTAAACTTTGTAGAAACTTTGGTGAAATTCTAAAACTTTGTAAACGTTCAAAACTCTGCAACAACTGTGTAAAGGTTGAAAAAACTTTGCAAACGTTGTCAAAACTTCGTAAACTGTTGTTAAAATTGTAAACTTTTTAAACACTGAAGCACTTTAAAATGCGTAAACCTTTGTAAAAACTTTGTACACTTTGTAAAACTGTGTAAAAAACTGCGAAAACTTTGTGTAAAAAATTGTAAAATGCGAAAACTTTGTCAAAACTTTGTAAGCACTTGTAAACTTTGTCAAAACTTTGTGAACTTTGTCAAAAAGTTTGTAAACATTGCAAACTTTGTACACTTTGTACTAACATTTTGTAAACTTTGTAAACAACTTTTAGATGTTGTAGGACTTCGTAACACTTTGCGAACTTTGTAAAATGTTTTTAAACTTCGTAAACTTTGTCAAAACATTGTAAACATTTTGAAAGACCTTGTGAACGTTGTGAAAACTTTGTAAACTTTGAACACTTTGTAAATTTCCTAGAAACTTTGTACAAATTGTGAAACTGTACAAACTTTGTAAAAACTTTGTAAAATGTAGAAAGAAACTTTGTAAACTTTGCAAATAACTAAACTATCAAAACTTTGTAATCGTTGTCAAAACTTTGTAAACTTTGTCGAAACTCTGTAAACTTTGCAAGACTTCGTAAACTTGGCAAAATCTTTGTAAACTTTCCAAAATCTTCAAAACTTTGTAGACTTTGTAAAAACTTTGTAAATTTGTGTAACAAAAGGCAAATGTCGCAAACTTTGTCAGAACGTTGTAAACTTTGTAAAAACTATGTAAACTTTGTAAAAAATGGGTAAACTATGTAAACTTTGTAAAGTTCTATGAAAGAAGTGTTTTTGCACGATTTTTTGCTTAAAAAGAAGTGTTTTCCATGTCATTTGTTGTAAACATAAGTGTTTTTCACCAGCCATTTGTAAACTTTGTAAAGACTTTGTAAACTTTGTAAAAACTTTGCAAACTTGAAAAACTTTTGTAAACTTTGTCAAAACTTTGTAAAAACCTTGTAAACTGTGTAAAAACTTTGTAAAATTGAAAAACTTGTGTAAACTTTGTAAAAACTTTGTAAACTTTGTAAAAACTTTGTAAACTTGAAAAAGCTGTTGTAAACTTTGTAAAAACGTTGTACAACTTTGTAAACTTTGTAAAAACTTTGAAAATGTTGTAAACACTTTGTGAGACTTTGTAGACTCTGTAAAAATTGAAAAACTGTGTAAATTCCAAACTTTGCAAGAACTTTGTTAAATTCCAAAGCTTTGTAAAATCGTTGTAAACGTTCAATACTGTGCAAAAACTGTGTAAACTGTATAAGTAAATACTGTGTAAAGTTTGCAAATGTTTGTACTTTTTGTAAAAACTCCATGTAAAAATTGTAAAATGTGCAATCTTTGTAAATTTTTTTACAAACTTTGTACAAGCTTTGTAAACTTTCAATACTTTGCAAAACTGTGTAAACTTTGTAAAAACTTTGTCAACATTGCAGCAACATTGTAAAACTTTCAATACGTCTTTAATTGATTTTTTAATGGTAAAACCTTTGTAAACTGGGTAAACTTGGGAAATTGTTCAAAACTTTGTAAACTGTGTTAAAATATTGTAAAACTTTGTAAACTTGGTAAACGGTTGTAAAACTTCGCAAACTTCATGAAATCTGTGTAAAACTTTGTAAACTTTGTACCAACTTTGAAAGCTTTGTAAAAACGTAGTGAACTTGGTATAAACTTGGTAAACTTTGTCAACACTTTGTAGACTTTGTAAAACATTTTTAAACTTTGTCAAACTTTGTAAGCTTTGTCAACCTTTAAACTTGTAAAACTTTGTAAGAACTTGGTAAAACTTTATTAAGACGTTGTAAAATTCGCAAACTTTGTAAAAAGGTTTACAAACCTTTTACGAAGTTTTGGAGTTCATCAAATTATTCTTCAAAGTTAGAGCAACGTTTTACACAGTCTTTAGAACGTTTACAAAGTTATATATTTTTACAAAGTTATACAAAGTTTACAAAACTTTCACAAAGTCTTAAGAATTTGTACAAAGTTTGCAACTTTTGCAAAGAGTTGACAGAGTTGTTGAATTACAAACAAATTTACAAAGGTTTACAACGTCTACAAAGCTTTTACCGTGGCCGTTCACTCACTACTCACGAGACAAACAAACCTATGAAATAGTCCTTTGGGTCTCGTATGTTGCCACTAACAACGCAAAAAACAAGACGTGTTTTATACCCTCTCTTAGTTCTGAACAACCAATTCTTCAGAGGTCCGCAAGGGTCAAAAACACTTCTTCTGCGCTAATTCCCCCGAAACAACGAACGACGGTCCCCAAGCAACTTAACAGGTAGAGAATGTATTCCGAGTATTTGCTATTAAATGCGTATCCAGGAATTGACGCTTTTTGACCTCGCACAAAATCGAGCGTTTGAGCTGTCGCTGTTTGCTTTGTCCAGTTCCAGCGGACACGAACAAAGGGAATGTAGGGCAAGTGCAGATGCTGAACAGCTTTCTGCTCGCGTTTTGCCTGTGTCAGTCGTCGCACTGGTTATCGACACAAGTTTGGTCT